CTGGGTGCTGGACGAACCCAGTCTTGTAATAACACTTTACACTTTGAAGGTGCAAAACGCATACGAACATGGCTACGCTGGCGCTCAAACTATCCAGGAAAGCTTGCAACTTACCTGGATCTTCATTTAATAGCACAATGTCGTATGTATACTCCAGATCAGACAGTCTGCCACCTGGGAATAAATCGATACCGCTGTCCTCGCAGGAGGATAGGGCTGTTTCAAGAATCAAATCTATGACAAAGTTAAATTGAAAGGGAGAGAGAGGACAACCCTGTCGAACACCACTTTCTGTAGTGAACTCGGGTAAAAAAGCGCCGTAAGCTCGAACTCGGCTTCAGCTATTATTGTACAGGGATTATAATGTTTAAATAAACTTCTCGGGCACTCCCTTCAGGGAAAGGCAGCGCCAGAGTTTAGATCGGTCGACTGAGTCGAAAGCNACGAACGGAGTTTCTATGTACTATAATTTGACGAAGTGTGAAAATGTGGTCAATACAGCCTCGACCAGGTCTGAAACCGGCCTGGTTCTCACGTGTACACCGTTCACGTGCGGCAAACAATAGATGGAGCATGATACCAGCGATAAGTTTAGATGCAATATTGATTAAACTAATTCCTCTGTGGTTTTCACAAGACAATCTGTCACCTTTCTTGTAAATCGGTATGATCACCGATTCACACCATTCAGTTGGAACCTCTTTCCTCTCCCACACTGAGCCCAGGAGTTTTATTAACTCCAAAACCAAGGCTAGACCTCCATCCTTAAAAACGGATGGGGACAGCCCGTCGAGGCCGGAAGCCTCATACCGTTTGAGATAATTTATTTCCCGGGTAACCTCCATTTCAGATGGAAGACTGATGTTAACTGGCAGTATTTGCACAGTTGAACCGGGTAGGGGAGGTCTTGTGCTGAATGGGACCAGCTGACCTGCTGACGGTGAACAAAAATATACGATTGCACAAGCCAGATCAATAGATTATCTTGTCAACAAAACAGCTTTAATGTGCTTGATGAACTGAAATAATTTCAAGCGGAATCAGGGGGCAAATTGATATAGCTCGATCATCTTGATTCACTCACTGTTTGCACTCCGTTTAAGTTGTCCAGCGTACTCGATTGTTACGTTTGGTTCATGAAATGATTTGTCTTTGTACGCAACCGTGAGAAAATTGCCGAGGCTCAATTCATCACAAACTGACTGGCTGATTGACTGGATGACTGAAATTCTGGCTCAGAAACACAAGTCGACCACATGATAAACATCCGATAATTTGGATCAAGATAAATTTAAAATATCGAGTAGGTGGAATGCTAAATCGCGTCTGATTGAGTCATATGTGAGAGGTTCGGTGATTCGATTACGAGGTCGGTCAATAGCAAATTGGCAACTTCATAGACCACTGGATGCGCTGTGAGTTTGTTGCGTCACCGATCAATCAATAACCAAATGATTGGATAATCGGAATGTGGAACTTACCGGTTGCATTGCATGTATAATTCGACATACAGACGAGCGTGACGTCGATTTCGAGACAATTCACTGGAATAAGAAAGAAATCAATCGTTTAACATTGGAATCAAATCATGAGACGAATTCGAGTAATGAGATGCAGGGTATTTCACCTGTACTCAGTTGATGGTAATTGTTTGGCACGAATTGAAATAATAGATACAGCCAGCCAATTGTAAAAGTTGTAGTGATATTACTAACCGTACAATGTAATTTTTGAACCATGAATGTTTCTTTACTTCTTCAATTCAATAATATTCGTCCAAGCTGTGCCGAGATTCGTCGTCACTTGCCGTGCCAAAGCGTTTAGCAATGTTGAATCACAAAATCTATCAGTGTGATTGCTTTGAACTAAACGCCTTTTGATTCTTGCATACAATGAGTTCACTGTGTCTGTTAAACGTTTCTGTCCGAGATCAATACATCGACTGCTGGTAGTACCAAAGCACATCGAGCCTATAGGATGGCCGTCTACCCTGTGCGTATTGAATGAGGGGTCACCTCAGCGACTCATTCGACCTGCTATCTCCACATGATTAGCATTGAATTTCCTAACTAAAGTAACCCACCTACGCTACCAGATCAATCTTTCGCCAGTACTCACGTGGTTTGGCGTAGACTCGACGTTTCGCTAAAGTTGAAAGGTCGTGTATATAGTGCCACCGTTCGTTCAGTTCAGCTTTATGGTTGTGAGACCTTGAATTTGCGAGTAGAAGATATCCATTAAATAGAAGTTTTCGATTGTCAGTGTTTACGTAGTTTAGCCCATGTGGGATGGAGTGAACGGGTTAGTAATCTGGAGGTCAGTCGTCGTGCTTGGGAGTTTATCAGGGATAAACCTGTTAGCACACCGAATTCAGATTAATATGCTTCGCTGGTTATGGCACGTATTACGTTTGTCCAGTTGTCGTCTGCCGCACCGCGCTTTATTCGCTGTAAATAATCCGGTCTGAAAGAAACCACGTGGAGGTCAACAGATGACATGGAGACCAGGCATGCTGAAAGGCACAGAGCCATTAGGTAGAGTGGGTGTCTCGCGCCTTCCAGGTTGGGGTCCGAAAGACTCCACAACTGGTTGGTTGGAGACATTGGAGGATATGGCAGCTAACCGACAGCAGTGGAGTTCTTGTTGTCATTTCTTATCAGGCCAGAACGCTTGAAACGGTAGGTGTGCAGAGTTCGATTGTGCACTCTGTGTTGACCATAGTCGCTTTCCTTCTTCCTCTTCTCTTAAAATAGATCCACTCCCTGTCCACCTTAGATTTTACCACTAAGCTTGTATGCATTGTGAGTTTGGCAGCGATCAGTGAAATTCACCTCACTGTATTTCGCTGTACGAGGATGATGATGGTGTGATTTCAGACAGTACACTGGTCGCGCTAACCGTTAGTTTACCTCATTTATATGAAAGTAAGATTGTCTAAATAGTCCCACAGAGCAGATTTCAAATAGAACAAGGAATGGTGAACAAGCTCGTTTTCAGTGATTCGTAGTCATGCCAAATACATCACAATAAATATTACGTGGTTTATATATAAATAGTATTCAACCATAAAAACGCAAACAATTGTTTTCGGAAAGCTAAAATAACCTCATGGGTTATCTGGGGCTAATTTCGTCTTGGGACCGGATGTGGAATTCTCAATTTGTTGATCATTGAGAACAGTTAGCGAATTGATCGCTCATAACTGAACGGTCCTGTAAGCAGTTTATCGTTGTTTCTTCCTTAGTGGGAACTATAAGTATTGGATATTGAACGACTCTGCTCGGATTATAACCCGGAGGTATGGGTTTCCTTCTTCAGATTTCACGGTGCCAATGGTAATAATAAGAACAATCATAAAACAGGTTCTGCGGGTTAGCCCTTTCGCTATTCACCCCGTCACTGTAAGTAAATGTGCACTGTTTTGTCCCTGTCGGAAGAAAATGCCTATAAGAAATGTAAATGTGTAGCCATTTGGTTTCAAGTTGATGAAGAGTTGTGTGGTTTATGGTATTAAGCTATAGCAGCCAGAGGAGGGGTTCAATTAGAATTTAGAAGGGTTGCCTCTGACCCATACTTCATGATTCAAACCTTTAAAAGCGAGGAGTTTGTGGCTCGTTTTCACTACTTTTTCACCTACCACTTTTACGAATAAGCATATGCATTGAAGAATGCCTATTCAGGGGATTGTTTCTCATTTAATACTCTATCGAATGAGCGAAAGTCTAGTTGCAGTCAGGCACACTGTCTGTGGCAGAGCTCAGCAAAATTGATTGGGTTGGGACACCATTGGATTGGGTGCATTGGCATTCCTGAAACTTCTCTGTACTATCATGTATTCAATAAAATAAAATAAAAGATTGTAAACAATAGAGAAAAATACTTCAGCGGGGTTTGAAAAACAGCGCACAGTTTTTGTTATCATCCACAAATAAAGATTGGCTCTTATCTTTCGAAGTGAACTTATCGCTTCAATGGATAGTTCAGCGTAAAGCTAAAATATCCACATGGATGAAAAACTGGACGAAATCAAAATTCCTTTGGAGATGTATGTCGAAAGTTATCAGTGTACGAAACACATCACTGTTATAATGAAGCAAGTGAGTGGTTGAAGGTAGGCCAAGCAATTAGTGTTTGTCGGATGACAGTCGGCTAGTTCGCCGACCACGTTTATACTTTTGATACGTGTCAACTGGCATCTGTAATCAGTTTTCACTTTACACTGATCGGAACGGAACCTAGCACCAAGCAATAGGGAGTAAAGTTCCACCGATGAATACGGGAGAGTGAACGATCACTGGTTGAACACGAAAAGTACCAAGCGGATGATCGGTGCCATATAAGAGTCACAACAAAAAACGGATCACGTACACGCCACAAAGGGCATCCCTTCGTTCCACCATTCGCGAAATTGAAACTTACAAAGAGAACTTCTCGTCAAATACTGGTGACGCACTGTTCGCCACAGATTTCGATTGAAAACTGTGCATGGGACGGTTGGGTGCGTGTTTTGGAGCGACGCGTATCTGAAATGGAGCCAAAGTCACGGTGTATGGATTCAAAAACCGTGCTCCCACAATGTATGGGTTCAACGAATCCGGGTTATACAGGAGGCCATTGGCACAGATCAAATGTGCTTCAAAGCGGTCACCAAACAGGATATGTGAATGTCAGACATTTGATACGTTACATTATCGATTGTCCCTGAAAGAGACAAGGCTGATCACGACAAAGTTACAGATTACAAAATTTACCATTATCTCTGTGCTACATTTCTGTGGTGGTGGTGGTGGTGGTGGTGATGGTGTGCTACATGAAGTCGCACGACTTATGATGCCAATTTTCAAAATCGACCAGTAGGGCCTAGAGACTGCGTGATTCAGATCACGTCTATAAGTTATCATTAAATCTGAAAATGTCACCGTTCAGTGCATACGGATTTACGGACCACGACTAGGAAACGTCACGGGGCATTTCGAGCGTGGTATAAAGATCATGTAGACCATGCTAAATTTCGCTCATCCTCTGATTATCTGCCGTGTTGCTGACGGAATCCACTGGTCGAGTATGTGTTTGATGAGCAGAGGTCAATTGGTTTATATCGAATTATTAAATGAACTATTAAACTAAAAAAATTTCAACTTTGTTCAATGGTTGCGGTCATTGGTAAAAAAGATGGAATCTACATGTGTTGGCTATCCTATAGCCATTCACTCTTTCCAGTGGTTGTAATCGCA